TTGTTTCTCCTGTTGTGTCAGGAGGGCTGCTGTCTCCACTGAGGTTTTAGGGGCCACCTCCTCTCTGACCATTTGTGCTCCTCTCTTCCATTGGTTGAGGGTTGTCCCTCGGGATATTAATTCTTGTGCATATCTGAGTTGAATACATCTGCAGAATGACTGCAGCTTCCATAGTATGGGAGGAACCCTGCAGTGAAAAACAACATGTTAATTGCCTGCATGACACTGTTGAGGCATGGGGACCCAGTGAATTGCATTTTAAAATACAATAGCATCTGGTGCTCCCATTGCCTGGAACACATTCCACCATTACCATCATTCTCTTCAGTTGCCTGGCTGCCTCCTGTATATCCTTAAAAACGTAGCTCAGATCTGACACTGCCTCCTAGAAACCACCAGGCTGTGTTGACCCCCACCAGTACTCCTTGCATCCAGTGTTCTGCCTGCTGTGGTACTTACCACACTATCATACTTGCCTATTTATTTGCTGTACCATCCAAACCGCACCCCCCTCCACCACAAGGCTAAAAGTCTTTTTTCTTGCCTCAGCAACTAGCACATACTAGATACCCAGTAAATATTTATAGAAAGAAAAGGAAAGATTTAAAAATACTTCAAGATAAAAAATTGAAATAGCTGGCGTCTTAATCTGCTCAGGCCGCTATAACAAAATACCATAAACTGGGTGGCTTAAACATTCATTTCTCAGTTTTGGATACTGGGAAGTCCAAGACCAAAGTGGTAGCAGATTTGGTGTCTGGTGAGAGCTCTCCTCCTGCTTGCGGATGGCCTTCTTCTTGTTGTGTCCTCATGTGGCCCAGCGAGACATCTCTTCTTATAAGACATCTCTTCTTATAAGTAGACATCTCATCTACTTCTATTTATGAAGGCTCCGCCTTAACAACCTAATTATTGGGTTGGCCAAAAAGTTCCTTCTGTTTTAAAGTAAAAATAAAAGACACATTTTTCATTTTCACCAAGAACTTTATTGAACAACGTATTCACCATTTTGTTCCACTACCTTCTGCCATTTTTCAGGCAACTTCATAATTCCATCTTCCCAAAATTTTTTATCTTTTTGAGCAAAGAACTATTCCAGATGCCTTTTACATTCTTCCAGGGAATTGAAATTTTTTCCATTAAGAGAATTTTGTAAAGACCGAAATAAATGGCAATCTGAAGGTGCAATGTCTGGTGAATACAGCGGATGAATCAGAACTTCCCAGCCAAGCTGAAACAGTTTTTGCCTGGTCATCAAAGAAACATGCGGTTTTGTGTTATCCTTATGGAAGATTATGTGTTTTCTGTTGACTAACTCCAGACGCTTTTCGTGGAGTGCTGCTTTCAGTTGGTCTAATTGGGAGCAGTACTTGTTGGAATTGTTTGATTTTCCAGAAGGAGCTCATAGTAGAGGGCTCCCTTCCAACCCCACCATATACACAACATCACCTTCTTTGGATGAAGACCAGCCTTTGGGGTGCTTGGTGGTGGTTCATTTCGTTTGCCCCACGATCTCTTCCTTTCCACATTATTGTACAGTATCCACTTTTCATCACCCATCACAATTTATTTTAAAAATGGAACGTTTTCGGTGCGCCACAACTACTGAGCCTGTGCTCTAGAGCCCGCGAGCCACAACTACTGAAGCCCTGAACCTAGAGCCCATGCTCCACAAGAGAAGCCACTGCAATGAAGAGTAGCCCCCGCTCACCACAACTAGAGAAAAAGCCCGCACACAGCAACGAAGACCCAATGCAGCCAAAAAAAAAAAAAAAAAAAGAGCATTTTCATTATGTTTCAGTAGAGCATGGCATGCGGAAATAGGGTCAAGAAGGCTTTTTTCGCCTAACCTATGTGGAACCCAAACATCAAAGCGATTAACATAACCAAGCTGGTGCAAATGATTTTCAACACGTGGTATAATGTTGTTTGTTCTCAATTAGTGTCTGGATTTGATCGCTATCAACTTCAACTGGTCTGCCTGACCGTGGAGCATCGTCCAGCAAGATATCTCCAACACAAAACTTTGCAAACCACTTTTGACACGTTCAATCAGTCACAGCACCTTCTCCATACACTGCACAAATCTTCTTTTGAGTTTCAGTTGCGTTTTTACCTTTCTTGAAATAATAAAGCATAATATTCCGAAAATGTTGTTTTTCTTCCATCTTCAATATTAAAATGGCTACACAAAAATTCACCAATTTTCATAAGCTTTTCTTCAACGCACGCTGATATGACAGCTGTCACAATACAATCTAACAAAATTGTTTCGAATGAATTTAAAGACAACTAAGCGGGGGTTTCCCTGGTGGCGCAGTGGTTGAGAGTCCGCCTGCCGACGACGCAGGGGACATGGGTTCGTACCCCGGTCCAGGAGGATCCCACATGCCGCGAAGCAGCTGGGCCCGTGAGCCATGGCCGCTGAACCTGTGCGTCTGGAGCCTGTGCTCCGCAGCGGGAGAGGCCACAACAGTGAGAGGCCCGCGTGTTACAAAAAAAAAAAAAAAAAAGACAACTGAGTGCTACTAGAGCCATCTTATGGAAAAAAGCAAACGAACCTTTTGGCTAACCCAATATCTGTCAAAGGCCCCACCTCCAAATACCATCACCTGGAGCATTAGGGCTTCAGCATGACTTTTAGGGGAACACATTCAGCCTGTAGCAGATGGAAGGTAGAAAAATGGATAGAAAGAGGTAATAGGAGAAAAACATGAAAGGCACTAATTCCAAAGAAACGTGGTAAGGAAAACAAGTAAAATGTCATTCCGAGTTATATAATAATGGACACTTGGGGGAGTGAGCAATGAGTAAATTAGTTTAAAATGCTTACACAAAGACAAGAGACCAGAGGATAGCCGAGAAGCTGGCCCAGCTTGTTGAGATGTTCCTGGAGGGCTGCGGTTGAGATTTAACATCCAGCTAGCTTAGGTCACTGCTGCTGAAGACATAATTCAATGTGTGTTTTCTGATGCACTTGTATGTATCAGGCACTGTGCTCTCTGTCCATCACAGGAACTTACAGGCTACTCAGAGACAAACATATATCGACTCCAATAGGCTGGGTGAACTAATGCACCCCAACAAACACCACGTGCAAATCACTATTCCAGGTGCATAAACAGATCTTGCTGAACCCACTGAAGAGCTCTGTAAGAATATGTAAACAAGTTCAGAGATATTAGGTAATTTCCCATGGTTACACACTAAGCCCTGACGTGGACACTCTAGCCTAACTTCTATGTCCTTTTTTCCCCACTACTCACTTACCTGCCTTTCACATTCATCCTTTTGTTCTTTCACACAACGTAACTGACCAACTCATATGGGCCAGGCACTGTGCAAGGCATGAGCAACAGATACCATCCCAGGGAAGAGCATGGTCACAGTCCCTGCCCCCCAGGGAGCTAAACATTTGTGAGAACAGACATTAAGCAGGTAATGTGAGGCGTGTGGAGTGTTACAAACAGGGAAACGTGGGGTGCTGACCTGAGCAAGCAGTTCCGGAAGACCTCTCTGAAGAAGTGAAGACTCTTTAGGAGTTAGCAAAGTTGGAGCTATAAGGGAGAAAAAGTAGGCCAGGTGGATGGAATAATACATGCAAAGGGACAGAGAGAAAGAGAGAAGGTGCATTCAAGGACTTGGGCTGGAGAGGTCAGTGTGTATACACTTGGGACTTAATCCTAAAGCAATCAGAAGCCACAACGTCTAATTCACAGAATTCCTTCCCCACAGCAAGAGGCAGAAATCACTTAATTCTAAATCACTTCATTTTAAGATGTACCAAAAGCCTACAGGATAATTAGTTTGAATGAAATTTCCTTGGTTTGTAGCCACAGATGTAGGATACTACGGGGCTGGATCCCACTGGAACCCGAGTAAAAGGGCTGCTTTCCCCAAAACTCCCAATTATCAAGCCCTGATGCCCCAACAGCACTGTGAAATTGTCCCCAGGAGGGAATGTTGAGAGCTTGAGCAGAGCAGGTCCAACCTTGGCTCCTGGGTTAACATCTGAATTAGTGAGGTTAATGATATCATACCATTGCCAGTTATAATTTATACAGTTTGTCTTTTCTCCACCTCAGGATAATGTCCCCTCCCCTCCTCAGTGTAAGTATTTCAGCTCTCAGGCAGTCTCCGAGGGGCACGATGCTCCATCCTCCCTCTTCCCTCCTCTGCTGCTGGCTGCATCCCACAAGGAATCAAAACACCCCTTGTTAAATTCCGTGAGTCAGGAAAGAATGGAAATCCTGCTTTCAAAATTCTTACACGAGGCTTCTGGGAAAAGTGTAAGGAGAGCGTCTATAGTTAAGTTAAACTAGTAAATAAACTGGCTCCGAGCTGAAATGGGCAGGACAGCCTGAGGAGCAGGTTAAGCAACAGAGAAAGGAGACATATGGGAAAAACACAAACCACTGATAGTAAAATAATTTTATTTAGTTTCTTTTTTAAAAAAGGTAGCATTTCACATATAAATTTAGACTTCAAGATTACCAAAAGGAACATCCCTGAAGGTGGGGCGGGGGGGGCAGACTTTGAGCCCCAGTGAGCACAGGGAAGCACATTCCACGGAGAGTTTAAGCAGAAGTCCTTTCTTGAGAACTTCACAGTGCTACTTCCCTGTTCCTCAACTCTGCCACCAGAGACTGTGGTTTGTAAGAAAACCCATATTCATCACTTTGGGGCAACAGTTTTTAGCTCATGGGAATAGGAAACATCTCTAGGAATGAAAGCACAAGGGTCAATGATCCAGGGCTTCCCTGGTGGCGCAGTGGCTGAGAGTCCGCCTGCCAATGCAGGCGACACGGGTTCGTGCCCCGGTCTGGGAAGATCCCACATGCCGCGGAGCGGCTGGGCCCGTGGGCCATGGCCGCTGAGCCTGCGCTCCGCAACGGGAGAGGCCACAGCAGTGAGAGGCCCGCGTACCACCAAAAAAAAAAAAAAAAAGGTCAGTGATCCAGATTTCCCACAACAATCATTATTTATATGCAGCAACAATATATGACAGGTAAAGAGTTTATTATATAGTTCCAAAAATCTTTTAAAAAGGGCTAGAGAACACAAAATTCATTCATAAAGAGAATGTATATAATTAAATGAGCAAAAACAAAAAAATTATTCTTTCCATATTACAAATGCCTTTATAGGATAAGGCCCTGGGAAAAGACCTCAAATCTGGGACTCCTTTCCCGTATTAAGTGTCTGGCACAACCCAGAAGCTGTCATGAGACTGACAGTTAGCTTAAAGGTTTCTGGAAGTGGTCCCATGACTTTTCTGTCTGGCTTGAACACAGTGTACACAAATGGTGTCTTAAACTGCGTAAACTCAGGCCTAACTACAGGGCACACAGATTCAAGAAAGTTAATCTTAAGATTAAAAAAACGTCCAGATGAAACAGATCTCCCATAGCCACAGGCTAACTCTGTCATCCTCTCATGTAAGTTTAAATCCACTGGCTGCCTAGGAAGTCAGTGGAATAATCCTGATCTCCTAGTTGAGGTGAAAGCTGCAGAACAACTTAGATTTCAGCATCTCAGGGCCAGGAGGGAAGGAGGCAAAGATGACCAAGGGTGCTTTCTAGGTTACTCCTTGATCCACCCGGTGGGCTCCTGATGAGTGTTGAGAAGGAGAACCCGTGGGCCAGTAACCATGGCAGCCCCAGGATCTGACCTTCAGGCAGAGGTACCGGGGCAAATGAATGTACCCCAAATCCAGTTTTAAAAATAAAAACTTCCTGCAGTTATGATACAACACTGTGCAGTGAACAGCTAGGAACTGGATGCTGCTTCTATTTCTGGTTAAAGTCCTGTTCCACTCTTGGCCAGAGCTGAGAGGTGACATAGAAGGAGTTGTCTGAGCCTAAAAACCAGGCACCTTAGTCACACATGGCCTGGGCAGTGACAGAGACAGTCATCACCCCATGGAGGGGTATGTATGGCCCTCAGAGCTTTGGTTCAAAGCAAAGGTTTCATCTCACCCAAAACTTCAAACTAAGCTCTATCTCTGAGCCTACTAATGATTAGGAATCTCTATGAAGAATCTCTGATTGGGTGGCAAGGTGCATGTCCCAGCAGGCCACCATCTTGACTCTAGGAAAACAAAAAGGTGCAAATCGTATCAAGTAAATAGTTGCTCAAGTGGAAGATCATTTCCTGGGGAACTTCAGCGGACTAGATGCTACTCACATGGATGAATGCTGGGACTAGACCCAAAAGAGAAAGCCTGGGTCCTGGCATAATCAGTCTTCTTTACACTTACCACATCCTGGCCGCCTTTTCTCTGACCTCCTATCTCTTGAATGACTGAGCACACATTTCCCCGGGGACCAATGTAAACATTATCCAATAGATCTCAGCTTAGAAAAACACAGCTTGTTAAATATTTAGTGTTTAACATTCCAGTGCAGGCAGTATGTTAGCATCAGACTTTCCCTCATTCATGAGTACCAGTTTAGAAAGGAACATACACAGGATATTTGATAAAACTGCACCTGAAAAGACCATCTGGGTGCCAGACAGCTGGCTCTATCCTGCAATCAGCTGATAAACCAGGACCACCACAGGAAAGGCAGAACAGACGGAGCATGAGTTCTCTGTAAATCTGAAGTCGTATAACCATCGTTCCCACTTAACCCCTTGGGCCATATCTTGATATGGGAGAACATTTCCACCTGTTGCATCAACCTGTGCTCTCCTTGTTTTGGATGGGGCTCTCTCCGGAGGGCTCAAGAGCCTCCTTAGAGGGGAGAGAGCTTTTTCTTCCAGTCCTAACCTCTGAATATTTCAAAGCACAAGAGGAGTCCACGAACATGCTAGGGATGTTGCTGCCAAAGTAGATCTTACTGTTAGAAGCAATGGCCTGGTACCTTTTGAGCTCCAGATATTCCGGGGTCAATTTGTGCTGTGAGAGGCAAACAAGAGCAAAGGCATCAGAACACTTTGGTGCAATAGTCACTGCTCTCTTTCCTTACACAGATTTTCCCTATTGTTCTCCTGAATATCATTCCTCAACTGTGAATTGCTACCAATGACCCTCTCTCACTTTGAAGTGTGGCTATCACATTGACAGCATTTTTCAGAATGGCATAAAACTACTGCCCCTTTCAGCATAAGGCTCACATCAATGACAAAGTCTTGACACTTGTGCCTGGCCAGCTTTTCCCATGACAGATTTGGATCACTGGTTTGGAAACTGAAATTTCTCATCTTGCCTTCATCTTGACCAAATTCCGTTCTGTTTCTATAGAGTTGTGTCCTCCAATATGTTAAGTTTATTTCTAAATTTACACTGGATTTCAAAGTACTGACAACTCTTGTTCTGACAAGCTACCGTATCTTCAGCCTTCTGAATATAGATTATGTTGTTCCTTCCTAAATGGAAAAAGTTTAAGCCCTGTCTATACCTTAAGTCTTGACTCTAACCTTTCAGACTGCATCATATACCTTAGCAACCTCCTTCTCAACTTTTCCTCTGTTCCACTCTACTGTACAATTAATAACCTTATAAACCTTGGCCATATCCTTCCCTTCTCAGACTACAAGGGGTTCTAGCTGACTTTTAATTAAATAATTCCTACTAACTAGGTCTGTACTCTCTAGACCTAAACTTACCCCAGTCCCTATACAAAAATTGTTCACCCACACCCAACTTCCTTTCTCAAATTACCACATATGAAATTCCTCATGACTAGAGTATTTTTTAAATCCAACGAACAAGGAGTACTCAACTGGGGGCATTCGGAAACGTGTGTGTGTGGTGGGGGGTGTGGATTGTTAAAATAATTGGTGAGCACTACTGACAGTTTAGCAGCCAAGGGCCAGAATGCATGAGATAGGCTTCAATAATGAAAAAGTATCTCACCCCAAGATGCTAAGAATGTCTGATGAGAAACTCTGCTCTAAACAAGCTTGGCATCTACCCCAAAGGTCTACCTGATCTGGGAAGCAATTTGAAATGAACTTTACTCCTCTCCTGTCACTCCTGTCATTTCAGGAGAAGACCTTTAACTTTCCTGATTATTGAGCCCTTATACAGCAGGACAAATGGATGAATTTATGGCATTTGACCTGGGTTTATATATCTGCTTGCCTTTGTCCTAGCTCCCCACTTTTATAAAGAACTATACAAAGTTCTCTACCCATAGAATGTGCAACATATGTCTTTCCAAGTGACTGGCCAATTCTAGAGGGTGTGATGGTAACTACCCTTCCTTGATACTGGATAAAATCGCCTCCATCGTGTTAGAACCCCCACAGGCGAAAGCAAAAACTGAACTATATTACTAGGAGAGTGACACAGAGAGCCAGCCACCTTGTTTGAAGCGGCGTATTTGTGTGCGGCGTAATGCTCAGCATCCGCTTTCGCCTTCTCTCGGGCCAGGAACGCAGCATCTAGTGAGCAGAGCAGGCAGGGTGTTTAAAACGGAGCACAGTTGCAATCCATGTCCTCAGCTGGGTAAGAGCTCAGACTCTACCTTAAGTAGAAGCCCCTTTATCCACTGCTTGATATTCCAATCATTCACTTTACTTTAAAGGCATAAAACAACATGTGCAGTTTTCAAATCCCAGTCCCCAGACAACTCCTTCTCAAAGGGGAGTACTCTTGTCAATATCAAGTTTAACTCTCAGCCCGTCTGAACCCACTTCATTTTCCACCTTAAGTTGCTCCTTCTTTCCTCCACCCCTCATCACCTAAAGCCTCACACCCCACCCAGGCTCTAGGCTTTCAGTATTAATAATTAAGTCCAGACATGAGAGCTCTGCTCTATTTGTTTGCACTGTCTCCATCCCCTTCAAATCTGATTCAGAATCAGTTAATGTAGAATGATAGGTAGCATCATCATATAAGCAAAAGAGGTTGAATATTTGGTCTTCAAGACAGTGAGCTAAGAACATCGACATCCCGCTATGTGTAATCAAGAGTTTGGGAGCCTCTACGACAATCAGGGCTTCTTTTTTCCCCAGCTAATTGTTTGGTTATTTTTTTGGTTGACAGGTAGAAAAGAAACTGGTGGTGGTGGGGTTTCTTATCTTGTATATTCTTTAAAACTGATTACTTTGCCTGAGAACAAATAAGCCCCAACTTAAGGATGGAAAATGAAAGGCTGGGTTTCCCATAGTCACAAACCAAACAAAAGAGCTAGATACACAATGGCAATTTAAAAAAAAAATTTGTCTAGAATATCAGGCCAGCTACTTCCTCCAGACCACCCACCATAACCCAGACCCAGTCCCTGAGACAGAGAAGCAGTTCAGGATGGTCAGAGCCTCTTTTCTCCCTGAGGTACCTTCAATTTCAGAAATGCGCTTTTCAGTTTCTTTCTCCATCACCTTCTGCTGAAACCGAATTTTTGCCACTTGTGCAATCTTCTCTGCTTCTATAATTATACACAAAACAAGGTCTTCAAAACACTTCTCTAGTTCCAGAGGTACTTAGAAACATGAGCACATAGTCCAACAATTATATAAGGTTTTATGGGCTCATTGTTTCATTGTTTTATCTATTCAGACTATAAACAACTCAACAGAAAAAAGGGAATTTATTTCCTACTTCACTGTTCTATTTTGACAGTGCTTGTTTTGTAGGAAGGAAGAGTACAAAAGGTGACAGTTCCAGTCCTTCATGGGATTAAATGGCAATGGTCCACAAGCTAATGGGGAAAAAAAGATACTTCATGAACGTTCTCAGAACAAAAACAGAGCAACACAAATGTATGGCAACATAGGACAATTATATAATGTGGCAGGAGAAAGAAAGAATATGGAAGATAAAACAAGGAAGACCTTCTGGAAGAAATCTTAAAGAAAATAATAGACATGACCTATAAGGACCTGGCAGAAAGTGTAAACAAAAACAAGATATACGAATTAGCATAGCAAGTCGCAGTTGAAGAGGTGATAAAGAGCCAGCTGATAAAAGAAGACAACAAAAAAATTAGAGAGAGGGCTGGAAGGCCCCTGTTTTGAGTGACAGGCTAAGGAATTTAACTTTAATATATACTCAGGATCAACTGTTATGTAACCATCAGGGAAATGATGTGATGAAGGGTTACCAGAGGAGGAGTATTCTGACTACTGTAGAAGATAAAAGAGAAAGCAGGGTAATTCACCTGAGAATGTGAAAACAAGTGTTGGGAGTGAACAAGGTAGCTGCAGCAGGCAATTACAGGCAGGGAAAACAAAACATCCTTAGGAAATCTCTGGCTTAACCAAAGGATTCAGGACCAGGGAAGAAAGACTCTAATTATATTTTCAATACAATCACTGCAATTCTTGAAGAACATTCTCAATTCTCCTTTTCAGCCAAAGAAGTTGAATTTTAACATATCTTCTCCTTGGCCTCTGGAGGAAATGTATAATGGAAAGAACATTTCCAGGTGGTTTCTTCTTTCCATAAAGCAGGATCCTTTACCAGCTACTCCAGGGCATACTTCCCTATCTCCCCATCAGCATAAAATCAATCTATCACCATACCGTCCTAAAAATAGGCGGTGTTCAGCTGGGCTAAAAATTTAGCTATAAGCAGAAACTCAAGATAAAATTTGAATAGAAAGTCAGGAATCTGGAGCCTGCAGCTAGAACCCAGAGAATGGTGTATCAACATGGGGAACTGATGCAGTAATCCCATTTCACAATGTTCTCTGTTGCGTGGGCATAAACCAATAAAGAGCATGACCAAACCTCTAGTTCTAGAAAAATGGTGGAGTAGGCTAATGAGAAACCCTTCCAACACCTTAAAATGCTAGATAAAATATAACAAAATTGTTTTCTAATGTATAATTGAGATCATAAGAAAGAATGAGAGATCCTCAAGAGAGACAAGTGAAGAGAGAGCTGAGAGCTTGTATGGTGGCAGCCCTGGGAGTAGTTATTAGACTAGTAAAAGAAAGGTCCTTGGGCTATTGCCCAGCAGGGCCAGGAGATGAAGCCTTGAGATGTTAAAACTGAAACTCCCCTATAAAACCCGAGGACCTGCTAAAGGGCTGCAACTCTACCCACCAGCCCAGTGGCATATCATAGTGAAACTAGAGAATACGCAAAGATAGAGAAAATTCTTTTTTTTTTTTTTTAACAGAGAAAATTCTTAAAAGTAAAAAGAGGAGGAGAAGCCAAACAAAAACAAAATACTACTGCCAAAGTGACAAAGAAAAGTAACTTTAGTTGGGCTTAGAACTGTAGGCTAAATTACCATTCAAGAATGAAATAAAAGTATCTCAGACTAAGGAAGACTGAATAAATTTTCCAGTCCTTAGCCTTTACTGGAAAAAAGCTAGCAGAAAAAAAGAATGAATTGTCAGAAGCAATGGAGAGGAAAAAATTGCACAACATATTTAAATCAAAGTAAAATATTTACTGTAGGAATCAATGATGATAATAATCAATGGGGGAATAAAAACAACATGAAACTAAAATACTAGGCAACAATAATATGTAAAACTGGAGGACAGTGATAAGAGTTGAAGCATCCTAAGATACTGTTCAAGAAGAGGATGGAAAGAATGATTAGACTCTGTCAAGTCAGGTATGCTTGTTAACATTTTACAGGCAACAACTAGTTACAAATTCTAGAAATAGAATGTAAAACTTCCAATCAAGTAAAAGGAAGAAAATAATAAAGAAAATACAATCAATTCAATACCAATCAGAAAAGAAGGGAAAAAGAAGCATGGTAAATGGCACAAAATTAAATGATACAAACAAGTCCAAATATAGCAGTAACCACAATAAATATAAAAAGACTAAACTCACCAGTTAAAAGACAGATTCTCACATTGGATAAGATAACAAAATCCAGCTATATGCTGTTTACAAGAGACACACCTAAAACATAATGACATAGAAAAGTTGAAAGTAAAAGGATGTGAAAAGACACATCAAGAAAATAACTAACCAAGAGAAATCTGTCATAGCTATATTATCATCAGACAAAATAGACCTTAAGCCAACAAGCATGTCTGGCTACAAGAGAGGGTTATTACATAACTGGACCAATTCTCCACAGAGATGTAACAATCCAGTTCTGAAACTAAACATTCTTAATGATATAGCCCCAGAATACATAAAGAAAAAAAGTTTTAAGTCAAAAAATTCATGGTCATAGTGCAAGATTTTAACACACCTCTCTCAGTAATTGATAGCTCAAGAAGGCAAAGATTAGAAGAATACAGAAGATGTGAACAATACAATTCATAATCCTGACATAACGAATATGCAGAGAAACCTGCATCCAACAAATAGAGAATATACATTCAATCTTTTCAAGCACACATAGAACATTTACCAAAAAAGGACCACGTACTGATAATCCACAAAACAAACTTCAACAAATACTTAAGAATCCATATAACAGATCATATTTTCTGACTACAATGCAATAACATTGGAAATCAACAATAAAAAGGTAGCCCCCTGAGAACCAATTAGAAACTGAAAAATATACTTTTAATAATTCATGAGTCAAAGAAGAAATAATGGACATTTTTTTTTAATGAAAACCAAACACCAATAAATAAACTACATTCAAAACTTGTGGATATACCTAAAAGCAGAACTTAGAAGAAAATGTATAATCTTACATGTTTCCATTAGAAAAGACTTTTTTAGTCTTTTAGTTTTTACTAAAGAATTTAGTAACTCAAAAAGTTAGAAAAGAACCAGTGAGTGAAATAAATAAATAATAAAAAATAACTGTAAATAATAATTGAAAAGAAAGTGACTAAAGAATCAACCAAATCAAAATTTAGTTCTCTGAAAAGATGCATAAAACAGACCTCTGATCCAGCAAAACAGAAGGCACAAATAAACAATATCAGGAATGAAAAGGGGCATACAGATTTGGTAGAGGGTTTAAAAATCATAAGAGAACTTTACAAATTTATGCCCCCAAATTTGAAGTAACAGATAAAATGGAGAATTTTCTAGAAAGTATAACTACCAAAACCGACTTAAAAAAGAAACAAATACCTTACACACTACAGAAATTAAATCAGTAGGTTAAGTGTTGCCATAAAAATCAAACGAGCATACAAAAAAGCACAAACCCCACTAGACCAAGATGGTTTTTATAATTGAGTTCCACCATACCTACAAAGAGGAAGTAAAACATATTTTATACAAAATGCTCCAGAACACAGAAAAAGAAGAAATGCCCTCCAACTCATTTTGAGGCTAGTATAACCATGATACAAAAAACAAACAAAAAAACCCTCAAAAACTTGAGAGTAAGAATGTAAGAAAAAAAAAAAAGCTGACCATTTATGAAAATAAAAGTGAAAAATTAAAAGAAATTATTAGGGTAAAACTCCTACTTCATGGTCAAGTGAATTTATCCCAGCAAGACAAAATAATTCAGTAAGAGAAAATCTATTAATATAATTCACCATATTAATTGCTTTAAAAAGAAAAATTATATGGTCATCTCGACAGATTTAGAAAAAAACTCTAAAAGTTTTAGCAGTCATTCATGATAAAAACCCTTGGCAAGCAAGAAACAGAAGGAAATGTCATTAACCCGATAAAAGTTAAGTATAGCAAACATCACTGGGACTGTGTATTTAAAGTTAGGAACAAGACAAGAATGCCTGTCACCATCTTTCTTTTCAACATTTCACTGGAAGTCATAGCCTAAAGCAGTAAGGTGAGAACTAAAAGGTGTGGGAGTACAAAGAAAAAACCAGAACTGTCCTGATCTGAAGACAATATGATTACTTGGGAAATCCAAGAGACTATTAGAAACAACAGCATTTTCGGCAAGATTGCTAAATGAAAAAATTAACAGCATACCTATACAAAAGTAAAAACCAGTTTGAAAATGTGCCTTGAAAAAAGAGCCTATTTATAATAGCAAAACATTTGAGGAATATATAGGAATAAATCTCTAACAAAGAGTGTGTAAGAACTTTGAGAAGAAAATTATGATACTTTTTTGAAAGACCATTCTTTCATTTTTCATTCTTATAAATGGAGAAATATAACAGATTTATAAAACTCAATATCATAAATATTGTAATTCTCTCCAAACTGATGTACTATATACAAGTAATGTGATTACAATCAAAACCCTAACAGTATTTTATAGAACTTGAGGAGCTGGTTCTAAAATTTATTTGGAGGAATAAAGGGCCTGGAATAGTCCAATACAATTTTAGAAATAGGAACAGTTTCGAGGAATAGTTAAGAAGGAACTTGCTCTCCCAGATAGCAAGACTTAATATGAAAGCTACAGTAATTAAAGCAAGGTATTACTATAAAAGGATAGACAAAGAAATTGAAAGAAAATGGAAACCCTAACAACAGAACAAATTATATACAGGATCTTATTATATGACAGATGTGGCATTAGAAATAAGTATAGGAAATAAGAAACTACTCAATAAATAGTCTAAGACAACTGGCTTGCCATTTGGAAAAAATTAAACCGAGTTTCTATGTCACACTAAACATTAAAATAAATTCCAGATGGACTCAAGACCTACATATGAGAAGAAAAACTTTAAAACTTTCAGAATAAAATTATTACTTTGGGGTTGGGGAAGAATTCTTAAAACAAGATAGGAAAAGCACAAACTGGAAAGGAAAAGACTGATAAATTTGATTACATGAAAATGAAATATATATGTATGTCAAAGACATCATAAAGTTCAAAGACAAGCCACAAATTGAGAGATGATATTTGCAATGCATAAACCTGGGAAGGGATTAATATCCAGAAGATACAAAGAACTTCTACAAATCAGTTTAAAAAAGTAATCAAATAATGGGCTAAAGATATTAACAGGCAATTCACATACTAAAAAAAGGGAAACCCGAATGACCCATAAACAATACTCAACTTTGCTAGTAACTGGGAAAACGCGTATCAAAATTATGTGATACCATGCCCATCATCAAACTGGTATACATTTTTAAAAATCTGATAACTCCAAGGGTAGAGGACGATGTGTGGAAATGGGAATTGAATACAGCAGCACAGAAATTGAAACTCAAACACTGCTGAGGAGAGGGTAAAATGGAGAAAGCACTTTGGAGAGCAATTTGGCAGCGTGTTGTAATTTGAAGATGTGTGTACCCTATGACCCAGCAATTCTACTTCAAGATATGCATTCTAGAGCAGTGCTTCTCAAACTACCTGTGGGAAAGCATTTTTTTTTGTATTTCAATATTTTATAAATTATAATGAGTTACTAGAAAAATATTAAAAAAGAAAAACATAAGTTCCAGTTTTTTATTAGATTCAACAGACAATAAAATTACTGTGTTAAAATGCTTTAAGAACTTCTAACACTCATTCTCAATTTCCATACTCATCTCATTGTGGATCCAAAACAAAAAGCCGGTGACAGGGCACCGACCCACATCACATGTGGGGTAGCACTTCTCTAGGAAAACTCTTGCATGTGTGCACAGAGAGACATGGATAAGGGTATTACTGCAGAACTGTCTGTAATAAGGGAAAACCAGAAACTAACTCATTAGTAATCCATCAGAATCAAATGAGGCTCACTCATAGAATGAGATACATACAGAGCAGTTAAAAATAAACTAGATCTACATGTATCAATATGAATAAACTCAAACAATGTTAGTAAAAAAATGAAGTTGTGAAATAAAAGGTGGACTTTGATACCACTTTTGTAGTAAAACAATTCTATGAATTGTTTCTTGTTACATATTTAGAGTAAAAGTATAAAAATATGGACAGAAAATATACATCAACTTCATAATAGAATGTACTCTGAGAAGACAGGTCAAGAAGTAAGACCAGGGATGGGTACAAAGGAGGCTTCAAATAGATATATAAACTTTTTCCTAAAAGAAAATATGATCTGAAGGAATATGGCAAAATGTTAAGCCTTCATATATAGTTCTCTGTATGTTCCTGTATATTTGAAATATTTAATATAAAACTCAAACTTTCAGCAAACCAAGGAACAAACAATTGAGAACCTAAGACGGCAGTTGAATACACAATATGCTGGAGTGTTAGGGAAGTCACCGGGACTCAAAATGAGCCGTGAGCAATGCTGCTGTACTTCTAAAGGCGGTAACATCTATCTATCCAGATAAAACTAGGTGCACGTCAACAGCAAGGATGCATACTATAATCCTGAGCTTTGGCCAAAAAACCTCCTTGTTCTGAATCTGTATAAACAAAACCCCTAGTCCGCCAGAGGCTAGAGCTGCCCCCAAACCCTATCCACATTTCCTGTCCTCAAAAGACAACAGTGGGGGCCAACACCACGGTGAAGAGCCAAAGCACTTCATCAACTACTGGCCTCATCTACTTTTAAAGGTTTTAGGACATCTGAATACACAAAGGAATTTCCAGAATTCTCCACTACGTATGATGCAGTCTTATTTGAGTCCCATCAACATCCAACATGAGATGGACAAAGAACAGGACAAACTCATAACACATGTACTTAGAGGCAACCATTTCAGAAAGAAATCCAAGTACCTATAACAGCCTTTTTCCTCTCTGTCTCAGCTTCTTTCTCCACAACCTTTTGTTTTTGTGCAGCTATGAGAAGTTTTGTCTTCTCAGCTTCCCTGTGGAGTAAAATATTACAAAAAATTAGAAATGGTGTACAGTCACAGGTAGTAATTCTGACTCTACAGTGGGTCAGAGAACCATTTGCAACAAGAACTTTCTGACTCAGTAAGGTAGGCAAGAGAGGTGTTATCCTATTTTACTAATAATGAATTTGAGGTTGAAAGGTTAAATGATTTGCCCAAAGTCACCCAGAAATAGGAATCAAATTTAGTATATTTGAATTTTAGTCAGACCCTTTCCTCTAATCGTATCATGGAAAGGCCTGTGATCTGGAAGTGTCTGGAGTACATGAATGCTTCCTCTGCTGTTAGGCCTCCAGCTAATCTGCACCAATTAGCAAAAGGCACTAACTTCTGGGCAGATGTAGCCAGCCCCTCGGATGCATGGTTTGGCAAGCAGAAGGGGGCTGGATTTCAGCGCCTCTTCAGGCAGACACCCCTGTGTAGCAGCCCGATTTGTTATACAGAAGATATAACTAGGTGGCAGTTACTAATTATGTGGTGAACTGGGGCTCAATGCAAAGAAGAACTTTCTAAGAATCTGAGCTTTCTAACAATGGAAATAGGTGGCCAATCACTAAGCACGTACAAGTGGCAACTGGGTGACCACATGGAAGAAAGGGTATAAAGAAAGATCACTATTAGGTGGGAAGTTAGACTGGATTATCCCAAGGTAGCCTTTAATTCTAGAATTCCAAAAGTGTTTGAAATTAGGAAAGATCCAGAATTACCTGAAAAGTAACTCCAATAGTTTCCCCAAACATCACCAACCCCCACCTCTCTCCTTTCCTCCTGCCAACCTTGATAAAAGACATAAAATGACATTCTGGATACTATGAGTTATTTGAAGGCAGATAACACATAGTATTCATCTTTCCATCACCAGAAGCTATTATATTTAATGCCTAAGACATGCTGAGCCTTCACAAAATTTATTTTTCTTCTATAAATGGATCAGACCCATGATCTACTCAGCCTAGCACTCTGTGCTTTACAGTTTTAAAAGAAGAAATCCTTTTCTACAATGAAAAAGGGAAGATAAAACTTTGCATAATAAAAGATATAGACTTGGGAACAATAATAACTCAGAAGTATAGCACTCTACAAAGAAGTAGTATTAGTACTTTTTGGACCCCCTGTATTTATACGTCTTTTGTATTCTTGACTTTTGCAAAGTTAGTTTTCTAGTATTTCATATTTTGCCTCTTAACATATCTGTCAAGTTTCCTAAAGACTTCTTTTCAGTACCTGTCATATGAGAATACTGACATTTCAACTGCAATAGGTAGTCCCCGAAAGGAATCTTCTAAAACACTTTGAAACTAATTTCGTGTCAAGCAAGTAACTTCTCATTCCCAGTCAGCCCTGGACACACAGAAGAGAAGACTACCAGGAGTCAATCCAGGCAAAGTTTCCCCAAAGGCAAATTATAAAGATCAGGTCTAATTTTAGATACATAATCACATACAATGGAAAAGCAAACTTGATACCAATGTGTTTATTCTTACCATTTGTAACACAGTAACAAAATACAGACACTCTCTTCAACCTTAACAGCTAGGGCTCTTTCTCTCCTCTATTAATATTTAATTCAAGGTATTATTCACATCCAAATTATAGCTGCTTAGGCTTCCAACAACAGTTCTACAGCAAACTGCATCCTTAGCCACTGAAGCTGCTCCTGAAATGTCCATATATAAAGAGAAAACTAATAAGAGTCTAGTGGGAATTAAGACACCAGAATAGGTAATATTACTAGAATTAAAGAATGGAAGATAGGCATATAGCCCTCCCCAGTGTAATATCTGAAACATAATTTTCCTCTAGAGTGGTAAATTAATGGAGACAGCCCTAAATAAAAATATTGGGATCCCATGCATATTACTCACATTAACTCAAAATTTCTTCTTATGGCTTCTGGGATTTTGGGTTTTGTAACACGCACAGCCTAAAAAATAAAAGTAAAAAAGCCAAAGTGTATTTGAAAAATAAATCGTCAAACTAAATCTTCTACAAAACAGCTCCTCAAATGACACTAATAAAACAGCTCTGACATAGCTGCCTACTGACACACATAGGGATCCCATTAGAAAATCTACTGTTCCTGCCATCACCCCAAAAAATCAAAATAAGCTGCTTCTTGTTTCCTTTAAAAAAATGCCTGGCTATAGGATAAACCACTCTACCTGTTGAGGAAATAAATTTTTAGGGAAAAGGTTCTCTCTTAAAAGACCTTTCACAAAGCTCTTAAGTTGGATACTTGTGTTTCCTTTTCAAACCTGCAAACCAAAGAAACAGAAGGAAGGCAAAATTTCAAGATTTAAGTTATAAAGTAGAAAACAGTCAAAAATATAAACAAGCAAAAACCCAGGTCAGTATATGCAACTTAATACAGTTGACAAGTAAATGAATTTACCACTTCCTAAACCTGCAATCACTCAGTACTGGCTACAAATAAACAGCTCAACACTGAGGGAAAACAAACACCAATTAACAAATAACAATTAGCAGCTTGTATTCTTTCTTCCTAGAACTTCACTTAGAACAAAGTCTACTTATCTCTGTAAACATTGTTTACTAGACCCTGTTTCTCTAACCATAGTGTACTTTGGCATAATTATCTGTGAAACAGGATAATTTTGGGGTGCAAGAGCCACGTACAAAAGCCCCTCTGTGTTCCCGGTTTCTTGTTTGTAGAAAAAGGCTTTAGTCTCCTAGGCCTTCCCTGGAAAAAGGCTTTAGTCTCCTAGGCCTTCCCTGAGTTCCAAAGAACAAACTCAAGCAGTTACTAATTCAGGAGTGAGGAAATGCAGAAACAAAGGAAAAGCAGTCAAGAAACAGTCATTTATAAAACAGTCCTGGTTCCTCCTCAAGGGATATACGTAACAACCTAATGCATATCTGTGAGTTGTTCTGAAGTAACCAAGGCCCTCACCCAGGTGGAGGATGCTGACTACCTGAGCACAAGCACAGAGACCCCAGACTGGCTGGAACCAGAAGACTGATGATAAAGATTTCTGGAACATCACCATGAAGAAAGTCATGCCCCCTGCAAACCTCACCCCAAATGCTGCCTTTAAAAACTCTTCCCTGAAAGCCACTGGGGAGTTTGAGCCCTTTGAGCATGAGCTGCCCGTTCTCCTTGCGGGACCCTGCAAAAAAACCCTTACTTTTCTGCAAACACCCACTATCAGAGTTTGGCTTTCTGTGCTGTGGGCACATAAGCCCTTACAGGGTTACATCTGCTTGGGAAATACAGATTCCGAAGGCTGACTTTTCCGTATCAAGGACCTGATCTCTCAGAAGTGTTTGATTTTACTAAACATCCTACACCACCCCTCCACCCTACTACACACACACACAAAGCACTTTGCTGATCTGTAGAAACGTTTACTTTCCCTCTGAAAACTGGCTGAACTTTTAAGCAACAAGGCCTTTAAGCACATAGCCTTTTTTTAGGGCTTATGAAAGAAGGCTTTAAAAACTTTTAAGCAACATAGCCTCCCCTACATAAAAGAGACAAGTCAGATGTGTACATAATTTTGAGGATTATAAACACTAAATACAAGAATTAGAGTGAAATGGAATAAGAAGTTGGGGACCATGATGAAAAAAGTCATTTCATGCTAATGGTAAGGCATGTGAGGCCATAAAGAACAACTCATGGACATACCCAGAAGACAAAGAAAAATTCAGAACCAGAATTTATAAGAGATGTCAGATTTCCCAAGTGACTACCAGAAATACAGATGACTTCTAATATGATTCAGGGGGAAGCACTGTCATATTGCATTTAATTATGAGACTGGCCATGTATCTTTATAGTCTTATAAAAAGAGCATGAAATAGGACTTCTTCTGAAGACTTCTATCTTGCTGTGTGAGGCTGAAGAACACACTACATGCTTGCCAATCTTGGGAAATCTCATAATTTTCAAATATGTGAAATATAAGTACCTACTGTAACAGATACCATGAGTAATTTGCTTCATAAGAGATTTAAGAAATAAAATAGCAACATATTCAAAAACAATGGTCAAAATACACACACACACAGTGAGTGAAGAAAGGGGAAAAAAAAGCTGATGAAATGAATATGTCTGTTAAACTGACTCGTGGATTATAAGCATATATTTTAAACTAAAAGCCAGCATTTAATATATATAGTCACTGCCTTAAATAACACAGGAAAAAATATCAAGAATGCTTATTTTCACCACTTTAATTTGCCATAGTTGTTCAAGAAGGAAAAATGGGGTACAAATACAGAGAAGGGAAAAATGAAAATACTGATTGTTACAGAAAAGGTTCACTCAACAACAAATATTAATTGGGTGCCTAGTCTGTACCAAGTACTGTTTATTCCAACCACTGTGGACACAGCAATGAATAAGGCAAGACTGCTCTCATGGACTTTAAAATTTTAAAGGCAGAAAAAAAGGCAATAAAGAACAACAAAAAGCAAATAAATGAACAAGAGAATTTCAGATAGTTATTAGTGTTATGTGAAGAATTAAAATACTAGGTTGGGGGGGAAATCAAGATTTTTATTTTGGCATAATTATATAACTAAAAAAAATCTAGGGAAATTCATAAAGTTTTAGTCAAGCAAGATAAATAGCTCTAGAGATCTGCTGTACAACGCTATACCTATAGTCAATAAAAATGTATTGTACACTTGAAATTTTAAAAGGGTAAATCTCATGTTAAGTATTTTTTACCACACACACTCACAAATCTAAGGAAATTAACCAAAAGAATTACTAGAGACAGTTAATTCAGCAAACTTGCAGACATACAATAAAGTCACCAAGAATCATTTGCATTCCTCAATGCTTAAAAAAATGCTACATATTTAATAGAATTAAAGCTCATTAAATTCATAGATATTAATTTAACTTGGGATATGGGTTTCTCACCTAAGTCAGAAATTCTAAAGGAGGGGCTTCCCTGATGGCACGGTGACTGAAAATCCACCTGCCAGTGCAGGGGACACGGGTTCGAGCCCTGGTCCAGGAAGATCCCACATGCCGTGGAGCAACTAAGCCCGTGCGCCACAACTACTGAGCCTGTGCTCTAGAGCCCGCAAGCCACAACTACTAAGCCTGAGCACCACAACTACTGAAGCCTGCGTGCCCTAGAGCCCACACGCCGCAACTACTGAGGCCGCGTGCTGCAACTACTGAAGCCCATGCGCCTAGGGCCCATGCTCTGCAACAAGAGAAGCCACCGCAATGAGAAGCCCACGCACCATGATGAAGAGTAGCCCCGCACTTGCTACAACTAGAGAAAGCCCGCGCGCAGCAACGAAGACCCAACACAGCCAAAAAATAAATTAAAAAATTTAAAAAATAGTAAAAAAAAAAAAATTCTAAAAGAAACTAAAATGATAATACAATTATAAGTAAAGTCATAGACTGTGTTCCTAATTTTTAAATGTATAAGCCAATTTAGGTACCTGATATGACTTGAAAATACTAATAATGAAAGCTCATCTTGTAGAATAAACTGGCAGAAATATCAAAGGCCATTATTATTATTATTTTTGGCCGCACCATGCAGCATGTAGTATCTTACCAATAGTTCCCCAACCAGGGATCAAACCTGTGCCCCGTGCAGTGGAAGCACGGAATCTTAACCACTGTACTGCCAAAGGCCATTATTTTTTTAAAAGCTAATATATCTTATCAAATTTTAAAAGTGAATGAAAAGTTGAATTATCATGACCATACGGTAATATGTTAAAAATAGGAATGGTGAAAAATAGCCTTTAAGTTCTAAAAATGCATTCCAACTATCATAAGAAACTATTTTATAAGAAGAATAAATCAACCAAAAAAAATGGAGATCTTGATCTATCAGTTTAAAAACAAGAAAGTGACATTTTTTCATTCAATAACGTTTATAAAAACTACAGGGCTTCCCTGGTGGCGCAGTGGTTGAGAGTCCACCTGCCGATGCAGGGGACACGGGTTCGTGCCCCGGTCCGGGAAGATCCCACAGGCCGCGGAGCGGCTGGGCCCGTGAGCCATGGCCGCTGAGCCTGCACGTCCGGAGCCTGTGCTCCGCAACGGGAGAGGCCACAACAGTGAGAGGCCCACGTACCGCAAAACAAAACAAAACAAAACAAAAAAACCCAACAAATAAATATAGGTAAGTTTAAAAGATCCTTCTTTCTGCCATGCAGAAAATGATGTGGACAAGTGAAAGTGAGAAAACAGGATAGAAGACTACTGCAGAAGTCCAGGCAAGAAATAGTACTTGGTCTAAGGAGGTGGTAGTGAAGATGTTTTAGATGGATTTGGTAGAATCAGCAGGATACGGGACTGATTAGATGTTAAGGGCTAGAGGGTTCTCAAAGACGCCTCCCATACCTCTAGACTGGCCTGAGGGTAAGAAGGAGCCATTTACTAACAAGAGGGAAAAAACAGGAGAGAAGTAGATTTGATAGGAAAAGACCAAGGGCTCAATAACTAATGAAAGAATAGGAAATAGAAAAATCAATGGAACAGAACAAAGTTCAGAAAGGACTTTACTATATAACAGAATTTAGCAAATAATATGATGGCATTTCAAACAAAGAGGAGAAAGGGGCATAAATTATTCAGTAATTGCTGTTGCTAATAAATTGGGGGAGGGGCAGATTGGAGCCCAACCTCACAAATGAAATCAAAATGGATTCCAGATGAATTAAAATTTTAAATCTAAAAATAAAACTGTAAAAGTAAATGCTGTAATTTCTGATTTTATTTAAATTTCTATATTTTAAAGTTGGTGAAAGGCTCTTAAAAGCATAGTAGCACAGCAAAATGCCATAAAGAAAAAAATACTAAAATTAAACTTCAGAATTGTCAAGGGGAAAAGAAATGTTAAATGACAAAGCAAAAAACTAGGAGAAAATGTTTACTATGCATTTAAAGAAGAGTTGCAATAATTAACATATCAAAAACAGTTTATTTAAGTTAATGAGAAAAACACATAAAAACAACCGAAAAATGAGCAAACACAATTCACAAATCAAATACAGAGGGCCAATAAACATCCTAGGGCATTCAACCTCAATAATTAATACACAATGGCAGATTCATTTTTTCCAAAAGGATTTAGAGAGCACGTATGCATCTGTTAATTATTTGAGTATGATCACACAATCAAATGTATAGAAAACAACAGCTCATCAACACTGCTGATGAGAGAGTATAAGCTACTGAAATTTTTCTGAAAGGCAATTTGGCAATGTATATCAAAAAGCTCCCAAACAAGGCATCAATCCTACGTTTAAGAACTTATCTTAAGGGAAGAATTTTAAAAGATGTATGTATAAGCTTGGTCATTATAACATGCACCTAACAGTAAAAACTGGAAGCCAACAGGGATTAAATAAAAACATTAAAAGTGATGATGCAGCAAATCTTACTTTTAACTTGAAAAGCTGCTTACATATATTGCTGGTGAAAAAAGCTATGGTAAGATTCCATTTTAGTTCAACATTATTTATAACTATAAACATATGTTCCTCTGTATTAAGAAGAGTCTGGAAAGATACAACGAACTATGTTATCTCTGCATAGTACGATTACTGTTGAATTTCACTTTGTTATTCATCTTTTTCCTAATATCTGATTATTTTTACAACACATATAACATGCGTGTGTATAAAAATATCGATAATATACAAGGTACTACTACAAATCAGTAAGAAAAAGAAAAACATTTCAATAGAAAAATGGGCAAAGAATATGAATAGGCAATTGACAGATGAGTACCAATGGACAAAAAAATAAACAAAAAGATGCTCAACCTCATTAACAACTAAGGAAATGCAAATCAAGGAGACAGATAACTTCACATCTATCCATACAGCAAAAATCAGCATGTCTGATTGCTTCACATGCTGATGAGGTCATGGAGAAACAAGTATTCACATACACTGCTGGTAAGAATGTAGATTTAGGGACTTCCCTGGTGGCGCAGTGGATAAGGCTCCACGCTCCCAATGCAGGGGGCCTGGGTTTGTACCTGGTCAGGGAACTAGATCCCACATGCATGCCGCAGCCAAGAGTTCGCATGCCGCAACTAAGGAGCCCACGTGCTGCAACTAAAAACTGGTGCAACCAAATAAATAAATAAATATTAAAAAAAAGAATGTAGATTTATACAGCCACTTTGAAAGATAAAGTGTACATACAAGGAGATGTGTCAGGAATATTCACTACATTATTGTTTATTAATAGCAAAAAATTGGAAACAGTAGGGAAATGGTTATGTAATATAAGGCAAGGAACTCTAGGAGGCTGTTTAGAAGAATGAGCTAGATCTCCAAGTAACGACCTGAGCAGAATCTAGGAATCTGTGGCATTCACATTATCTTTAAAATTGAAAAGCTGCTCCAGGACAACCAAGAGAGTTTTACAAAGTTAGCTCTGGGACATTTCAAAAGAACCCTTAACTTTGGCAGTTCCCCCTCAGGGACCTGGCAGAGATAATGGCAAGATGGAGGACAGGGGGAAAACCTTCAGAAGTTTTCCAGACTCCTTTATGAGATCGCATACGATCACCCACAGTGAATGCACACTTCTCAGAAGCAGTGCAATCTAGAAACTAAGAAAGGACATTAGAGAAGCCACATTACCACTTCTCAGGTAATCCAGATCCAAAGCCACTGCGTTCTAATGTCACTGACCATGACTACAGTAGAAAAGGCATCTTACAGTGACACCCAATATTAACACCTACCCCACACACTTATGCAAAACAAACAAAAGCCTCACAGACTGATACTTTAACTTACTACATGCCATGTGCTCGGGTTTCTTTTCCTATTCAATTCCATCTTATTTAAAATGCTGGTCATGACCCACTAAAATTGATTTTAGAACCTACTAGTGGATTTCAACCCAATCTGAAAAAATACCCAAAAAAAGCAGTTATTCTCACCATTCTATTTCCCAATGCCACTGCCACCACCACACCACCACTAAATTCTTCTGCTACCTTGCTTTTACTCAGGTCTTTCCACCCACCTGAAATATCTTCCTTACTCTTTTCCACCTTATAAATCGTATTAATTCTTCCAGACCTACCTATCAATAAAATCTCAACTCAATCAGTCATTTCCAGGCAGATGCTCTTGAAATGTTCGTTAAACTCTGAGAGCAGTAATCATCCAATCAATTCATCCGTCAATTAATACTTTGTCTAGAATTATTATCCACATTTTATACGTGAAATTCTTTTTCATAATCTTACTGAGGGCAAGGATTAGTCTTAAACTGATTTATAACCATTACTGTATCTTTTTTTTTTTTTTTTTTTTTGGTGGTACGCGGGCCTCTCACTGTTGTGGCCTCTCCCAGCAGCCATGACTCACGGGCCCAGCCACTCCGCGGCATGTGGGATCCTCCCGGACCGAGGAACGAACCCGCGTCCCCTGCATCGGCAGGCGTACTCTCAACCACTGCACCACCAGGGAAGCCAAACCATTACTGTATCTTAATAATGTCACACACATACATAGCTGTATACAGATTTTATTTCCTTTCAAGAGCCTCAACTTATCTGTTCCCTCTAAGAGTTCAGAAAAAAATGCCACCCATAACTGAGAAAGATATTCTGTAAATCACCCTAGCACTACAATTAAATAACTGCTGAATAAACAGTCTGATGAAAGGACAATTAAATACAAAGCTCTCAAAATTCCCAAAGAATTTCCCTAGGAGAAGGGCTTACCTGTATGGTGAGGCCTGGGGCCATGACATTTAAATCTTTCTGCAGAGCTTGCTTGAGGTTTTCGTCTATTTGATCTGTTTTTGAAGCCAAGAACAACAGCTCTCATTACACTCAAAAAAATTTCCTTACATTGTATTAACATTTAAACAAAACCAATCATAATTAGACCTAAAGTTTCCACGGTACTATTCTTTTATAGAGCTTAAACCATTTCACACACATATGAAAACAAATATATATATATATATATATATATATATATATAGGGGGAGAGGGAGAGAGAGAGAGAGAGAAAGAGAGAGAGTTTTCCTTCTGTGTGAGGAAAAATTGTGAGGAATTACCGAACAAAGAAATTAAGGAAAGATGACAACCAGCTACTTGAAGTTTATCAAATAATGGAGAATCTAGGATTCTAATATCTTAATTCAGTGTCGTTACTTAATATGTGTCCTGATTCTCTAAAAAAAACAAATTTTCATCTTCAGTCGATCTTTATCCAAATTCCCAAATAACTAAATTTCATTTCCAGGGACCTCTGCCAATTATTTTGGATTTAAAAACAGAGAGGGTGGGGGAAAGGCTCATAGGAAGGTCCTTGAAGCACACAAGAATGGACAATAAAGATGTCACTTCACTTGGCTTTGTAACTCATGAATTTTCTATCCACCTCAACAGTACCTTCCCCATTATTAAATAACCAGTGATGTGACAATTAAGGACAGACCAGTTTTCTCAAACACCACGTCAATAGTTCTCAATCATCAATGAGGAATCAATTGGTAGATTTCTAAATTGATTAACCATCCCTATGCCTGCCTCTAAGAAATTCACTAAGAATTCCAGGAGGGAGAAGTGAGCAGACAATAGCAGCAACCCAATCCCTGGTCAGAGCTTTCCCTACCACAAATGAAAAGCAACTTGTACAGAAGAGAGTCAACAAAGCAAGCCTGAAACTACTATCCTTAGAAAGGCCTGTTTGCAATTTGGCCTCTGGCTGTCACCTGGGGTCATGGATTTGGAGAGCATTCCCTCTATCCCCAGAACTGATAACCCTGACTCACTGTGCCTAAACTGTTTATTCAAACAATGTGTTTTATGCTGAACATCTACTTTCCTTCTGGGAATCTGGAATATTGGTATATGCTAGGCAGAAGGTACCTACATGACCAGCCCACAGTAAAAATCCTGCATAGAGAGTCTCTAATGAGCTTCTCCAGCAGGCAACATCTCACGTGTATTGTTACAATTCAATGCTGGAGTAATTAAGTGTATCCTGCATGACTCCACTGGGAGAAGACTCTTGAAAGCTTGTGCCTGATTTCCTTCAGACTTCACCCAAGTGCCTTTTCCTTCTGCTTTGTACCCTTTTGCTGTAGTACATCTTAGCTGTATGATTATACTGAGTCCTGTCAGTCCTCCTAGCAAATCATCAAACGTGGGGGTGGGTCTTGGGAAACTCCAAGACACAGGTTCTTAATTTCTCCAAATTATCTATTAAACTAGCAACAAAGCTAATTTTCAGTAAATTATCATAGTAAAAACAGAATATAGTCTGGGACTTCCCTGGTGGCACAGTGGTTAAGAATCCACCTGCCAATGCAGGGGACATGGGTTCGAGCCCTGGTCCGGGAAGATCCCACATGCCGCGGAGCAACTAAGTCCGTGTGCCACAACTACTGAGCTCACATGCCACAACTACTGAAGCCCACGTGCTCCAGGGCCCGCGGGCCACAACTACTGAACCTGGGTGCTGCAACTACTGAAGGCCGCATGCCTAGAGCCTGTGCTCCATAACAAGAGAAGCCACCGCAATGAGAAGTCCGCGCACCGCAATGAAGAGTAGCCCCTGCTCGCTGCAACTAGAGAAAGCCCACGTGCAGCAACGAAGACCCAGCGCAACCAAAAATAAAATTAATTAATTTTAAAAAAAGAACTTAGTTTGTAAATCATCTTTTTCCAATCTCTACCAAGTTACATACTTTGTACTTCAGAAAATGGTTATCATTCTTAAAATATCTTGTTTGCATAACTATTTGCTTAATTTAAGCAATTTTAAGCAAATTTAAGCAATTTTAAACTTCAGATAAAGAATATTTTAAAGACAATTACTCTATTATAAATTCAGAAGAAATGCTCAAATAGCATAATGCTTACTAATATTATTATAGCATTCACAGACGAGTTGAACAAGATTTCTAATTGGTTATTTATATATTTAAAACAAATGAGACACTTACCAAACAATTCAATGTAAACTTCTTGAAGCGTGTGGGCGCTGCAAAACTGGTTCAGTTCATGGTGGATTTTATTGAAGATTAAAGTCTTGTCATAATCTGCAGTGTAGTTCCTCACTATATCAAACACTGAAAGAGAGGTACTATCCATGTTCACCCGTGTATCCTCTAATTCAGCCAAGGTAAAAGTTACAGTGATAAAATATACATGAGGAAAAGTGTCAATGAAATAGTGAAAACATGAAACACAACTCCAAGCCTTGATGTGTTCCTTGTGCCTTATTCTCCAGATATTACTGCATTTGCAATTCTAATGGGCAAACTTCATATTCCATACTAAGGAGAGTATACATTATCTTGGAGGTAATAAGGAACCGTCAAAAATTGAGCAAGGGCATGACACAATCAGATCTGTACTTTGGCAGCAGAGTGAAAATGAATTGTGAGGCATATAAATCAGAGGCAGGGGAACTGTAAAGCAATTACTGCAAGGTAAAAGTTTAGCTAAGAGGTAAAGAGGGCCTGAACTAATTGAGGAACAGTGGGAATGAAAGAAGGAGACAGCTCCAAAAGACCGTTTTCAAAAAGGCAGTTTTTAAAGGCTGTTAAAAAAAAAAAAATGACAGGCTAGAAAGGAAAGAAGCTAACATTTCTGGGCCAGACTTTATATCAGGCAATTTATATACATTAACACTTAATTCTCACAAAAAAAAATCTCCTTATTTTGCATAATATGAAACTGAGAAACAGAATTTCAGAAATGTGCCTAAGGGTACATACTAGAACATGCCAGAACCTGTGCCCTACTTATTAAAACATGCTTTCTCCCTTCAAATCCAAGACTTGCTCTACTCGCCTTCCCACGGAGGATACTAGATGTAACCGGATTCCAGATCACAACAGATGAACAGGCCATCAATAAATACTCGCTGACTAACTCATCCTCTTGATCATTTCCAAATGAGTTGGTGACACAACAGTTTCCTCTTTATCTCTGGTCAGAAAACGAGCACTATCTCCCCTTCTTCTATTTTTTCAATCATAGTCCATTCCACTGATTTGTGACCAGGGAAAGTAGATGATAAAAGACAGGAAAATACTTAATTGCTGAAAAATATAATCCAAATCCACTTGATAGTAATACAGGTCGCTCTCTCTTCTGAAATTCTTTTGCTATTTGTACCTGTACCAGTGACATGAAACTTAGCACAACCTTACATTCCTATATATGTACATATATATGTGTATATATATACACATATATATAAATATATATATGTATATTTATATGTGTGTATATATATATATATATTTTTTTTTTTTAGGTCAGTATCATGTCTTCTCAAGTAAAATAAAAAGCCCTTAACGCAAAGGCTCTAACTTCACCTTTTAAAATTGTTTTTGCCAACACAGTATCCTGACATAGTAAGCATGCAAATTTTAGTAGTAAGGATAAAAATAAAATGGCAGATCTTTTTAAAAACTTTATTTTATTATAGTTGATTTACAATGTTGTGTTAATTTCTACTGTATAGCAAAGCGATTCAGTTATACATATGTACACATTCTTTTTCACGTTCTTTTCCATTATGGTTTATCACAGGATATTGAATGGAGTTCCCTGTGCTATACAGTAGGACCTTGTTGTTTATCCATTCTTTATAATAGTTTGCATCTGTTAATCCCGAACTCCCAATCCACCCCTCCCCAACAGCAGCCATAAGTCTGTCCTGTCTGTTACTGTTTCATAGATAAGTTCATTTGTGTCACGTTTTAGATTCCACATGTAAGTGGTATCAGATGGTATTTGTCTTTCTAACTTACTTTACTTAGTATGACAATCTCTAGGTCCATCCATGTGGCTTCAAAATGACATTATTTCATTCTTTTTTATGGCTGAGTAGTATTCCACTGCATGTATGTACCACATCTTCTTTATCCATTCATCTGTCAATGGACACTTAGGTTGTTTCCACCTCTTGGGTATTGTGAATAGTGCTGCAATGAACACTGGGGTGCATGTATCTTTTCAAATTATAGTTTTGTCTGGGTACATGCCCAGGAGTAGGATTGCTGGATCATATGACAGCTCTATTTTTAGTCTTTTGAGGAACCTCCATACTGTTTTCCATAGTGGCTGCACCAATTTACGTTCCCACCAACAGTGTAGGAGGGTTCCCTTTTCTCCACACTCTCTCCAGCATTTGTTATTTGTAGACTTTTAAATGATGGCCATTCTGACTGGTGTGAGGTGATATCTCATTGTAGTGCTGATTTGCATTTCTCTAATAATCAGTGATGTTGAGCAGCTTTTCATGTGCCTGTTGGCCATCTGTATGTCTTCTTTGGAGAAATGTCCATTTAGGTCTTCTGAAAATGGCAGATCTTTTGATTGAAAGCAGGGTCTCGAAGAAACCCAAGTACACCCATGTTCATAGTAGTATTATTCACAATAGCTAAAACGTGGAAGTAATCCAAATGTCCATCAATGGATGAATGGATAAACAAAATGTGGTATATACATACAATGGAATATTATTCAGCCTTAAAAAGGAAGGAAATTCTGACACATGCTACTACAACATGGATGAACCCTGAGGACGTTATGCTTAGTGAAAGAAGCCAGTCACAAAAAGACAAATACTATATGATTCCATTTATGAGGTTCCTGGAGTAGTCAAATTCACAGAGAAAGAAAGTACAGACAGAAATGTCAGAAAGACAGAAATGGTGGTTGCCAGGGCTGGGAGAGCGGGTGCATGAGGAGTTCTTGTTTAATGGGTAGGGAGTTTCAGTTTTGCAAGATGAAAAGAGTTATGGAGATGGATGCTGGTGATGGTGGCATAACAATATGAATGTATGTAATGTCCACTGAATATTTAAAAGTGGTTAAGAAGGTAAATTTTATGTTACATGTATTTTATCACAATAAAAAAAATTACAAAAAGAAATCAAACATTAAAGTGGTCGATCTTACTTCAGAACTCCTAATTAAGTTTTTGATTTGAACAGTACTCCATCTCTGTGAGTTTTCATCTTTTACCAAGAAAGTGTTCTCCCCACACTGAGGACTTTCAGATTGCTTTGCAAGTTGTAGCAAATCTCAACTAGAAAAGATTTTTCTATGGTCACAAATCAATGTAGCCAAGGAACTGATCAGTTATAGACTTTTAACATGTAAGGATATTATTTCTCATCCTGACTGGATAAAATGCTACTTTCTAGAAATTCTAGAAATAATCAATGAATGTCTTTTTCTTAGATACACTCAGCTCAGCGTAACACATACAGTTGCAGAAAGTCAACTCTGTTGACCTATTTCTGTCGCCATTCCCTAGGAATGGAAAATATTCCAGCGATTATTTTTTTAAATATATATCAGAAATGAATGAGGTCAAAAAACTTTCCTTAGGGAATCTATTCCTATTCCTTAGAGAATCTCTCAGTTACAGACACTCTGGTTATAACTATAACAGAATAGATGGGTACCATACCTGCACAAGGGGCCAACATATTAACCACTTCTATTCGGTCAATATAGATCATGACCCCACCACTAAAAACAGAGAAATGGAAAAATGTGAGCCAAATACAAACCTATTATGTTCCTAGATTAATTCTACATCATCAAACAAATCCCACATGATAGAAATTTAGAAGGAAAATCTAAAGACATATACTACTGATTGATTAAACTGACCTCACTGATCACTACTCAAATGACCCTGCACACACTCACCTGGCTCTCTCATAACCAAAAGCTCACCTCTGTAACTGCTGTGATCAAAATCAGCTCACAGGAAGACTAGACCTATAACCTAGAGCTGCTTAGCACTTTGCCCTTATTAAATGAAGCCAACAGCTAAGGCAGTGCACTTCTCAAACTTCTCCATCAAGGAATCAGGTAAAGTGGTTCCCCAGAGGTATGGAGGCCAGCCACAGGCTGAAATTCTTTTGATTCCCTTCTTTATCTTAATCTACTTTTCATCTGTATTTATTCTAATATGAAAAGAAGAATCTTCCCCCAAACCTCGAAGTAAAACTGACACTCCAGAAAGATAGGTCTTGTTAATTAATGGCTTCCTATACTTCCTGGCCTACCAGCACAGACCCTGAGGAACATGGGAACCTCAATTTAAGATAGGTGAAGTTAAGAAATTTTGAAACTATACAACTAAGCCTTGCTACCAACTTACAACAACATTTTTTTTCTGATAAAAAAGCATAATACCTGCTCACTGAAAAAAATCTGACAAATACATGAAAGCATGAAGATAAAAATAGAATTTACCCAACATCTCATCAGATGCCAATTCTGAGTCATCTCTAAAGGGAATCTACAAAAAAGTTACAGACAGACCTAGGGAGAACTTGTATCAATACGCTAACTTAAAACAGAGAGAATTTGCTCCCTCTTTAAGAACATTTCTGTGATATTCTGGTCATTTAAAATACAGAATTTAAAACATACACTGAACTTTATACTCTTCTTCTGATACAATTCAATGTACTGATTATACTCTAAAAATAATTTGGGCCTTGCTTGCCTTTCTTGCCCCAAAACTTTATACAGCAGTGATTTTTCAAAGTAAGGTCCTCAGATCAGCTCAGGATCACCTGGGACTTCTGCTAGAAATGCAAATTCTCGGGTCTCATTCCAGATCTACTGAATCAGAAACTCTAAGTTAGATGGCATTTAATACTACAGATGACAAGGTAAGCTGATTTCATTTTAAACTATCTATTGTTAGTTTAAAATGGCTCCTAAGATGGAAAGGTCCTATTTGGAGACAGGGCTTTTCTCAAATAATGCTCAGAAGAGAAATCCCCCTGGGTTACTACGATGCCTCTTTGAAAGATGTTTAAGTGATCACAGCTTATGAACAGAAAATACATCTGAACCAAAGGGAGGTTGGTAAGCAAGGGGAACGCTTACCTTGTTCCACAAGGCACATTTTTAACTTCATCAGTTTGCAGTGTTGTCTGGGGAGGAAAAAATATCTCATCAATACTCAGCACACATATCATCAAAGAACCACTGGTCCCAAAGGAAAATCTCTAGAGAACTGCTGAAAGGTACGTACAGGAGAGCTCCATTACAATTTTAGTCCCCAAAAATTAGCTATCAGAGCAATCTCTTTTTGTATCCTGGCAAACATGAAAGACTAGAGACAGAATATTTTACAGTTAATGTCTGAGTCAAGATGCACCAGGAAAGCTTCAATACTCAATCTGAAAGTTTCAATGTTCAATCTCTCAGTCAGTCCCTTATTTGCATGGAGCTGGCCTGGGACTGCAAACTACATGGATTACCCACAAGGATACTACTGCTAGGATTTGTACTCTGAACTCTGATTCCACTGCTAATATTAATGGTTACAATGAAGACAAAAGATAACTATTATAGGCATACAAGCAGTCTTCAACTCAGAGGGGCCCTTGAGCTCAACACCAACCTTTTCCTCTAAAGCTATAGTCAATATTTTAGTTCAGGTCCTAGAGATTTCTCAGACAGTCTCTCAATTTCCTTTTTAAAATAAATGCCACCATCAGCACTGCTTCCTCCTTGTGAACCAACCATCTGGTACTTAATTACTCTGCCCCTGTCACAACTTGGTTCGGATCCAGAATGACTCCCTATTGCACTTGAAGGCTTCCAACAGGAGAGCACATAATGAGTGTATTCCGGACACACTGCACCATATTAAGCCCACAGCAACATAGTACTTTATGGAATACAGCGGAAAAAAGAAGCATGGTCCTTGTTTCCAAAGAGCTCACAATCCAACACAGGAGATAAAATCCTTACAAAGCAATCCATAACAGGTACAAATAACAGAGTATAAACTGAATTGTTAGGTATTAAGTGATAGAGTAAAATAATCATTTGAAAAGCTCTCTGAGGTGAAATATTTATAAGCCCAGTCTAGAGAAGGAGAAATAAGAACAGATAAGGCAGAGAAGCATCTTAAATTCAATATGTATCTATTCAAATACACAAAGTTGAGGACAAACTATGTGTATAGGTGTCAGGAAGCAGTTGGCTTGCCTGGAGCAGAAGGGACAATATAGATGAGAGGTGAAACTCTGAGAAGAGAACATGAGGTTAGGCAGAGGGTCCTGAATGTTTGCTGGGGGGCTTGTGCTCTCCCTAGTCCACCTTACACACAGCCACAAACAAACCTTTCAAAAATAGGACTTTTCCTTCATTCCTTTGCTTATGTGTGTTGTGGTTCTCATTATCTATCATATCTGGAGGCAAGAAAACCAGCTGGGAAGCTAAAGTAGTAATTTATTTGGGTTAATGTAGAAAAGGCCATGGAAATTTAAAGCTTTCAACCCAGGAGATACAATAGAGAAGGGATCTGATAACTAGTTTCATATAAAATTCCAGGAGGAAAAAGAATAGAATGTTAAGTCTGGGGTTAAAAGGGTGATAGTAAACACTAGTGACAGGATGTAGGTAGAGTGAGGGAAGTTGATGGAGGTGAGCTCAATTTATTTTATTTCCTTCAAAACATTCACCATATTCAACTTCCAAATCAACTTTAAATATACATTCCTATTTAAACCTAAAGGATATTCTCTAGTCAATTTTCAAACCAAGTAAAACTAGGAAAGAGTTCAAATGTTAAATCTTCAATTTAACCTCCTATCTTCATGTATTTTTATACTTCTTTTGATTACCTCAAAAATTTCCCCAGTATGAATGTTTATTTTAAAAGTCTTTGGTTTTGTTATATAAATATATATTTTAAAGGCTGAAGGTTTTTATATTTTTCTAAACAGTTTTTTGTTCTTACATCATATATGGGATCTCACATTTCCCCAAGATGCTTCTTAAATATTCCTTTCAAATGCCAAGTCTCTTAAGCCATTTGTTTATATAAGCTATGTCTTCTAATGTGCTCCAAAACTTCCTAAAAATAAGTTTCTTTATCTCATTCTTATGAAAACAACTTCTTAAAAGGGTTTTATTAATATAATTCTTTCCTAGAACGTTAGTTTCACATATAAAGACAGACCATTTCTATTTAGTCACACTGACTCCAGCAGTAAATCTTTTTACTAATTTCATTTTCATTTCTTCTTTTTTAATAAGATTATTTATTTATTTATGGCTGGGTTGGGTCTTCGTTGCTGTGCACGGGCTTTCTCTAGTTGTGGCAAGCGGGAGCTACTCTTCATTGCGGTGCGCGGACTTCTCATTGCAGTGGCTTCTCTTGTTGCAGAGTATGGGCTCTAGGTGTGCGGGCTTCAGTAGTTGTGGCACGCGGGCTCAGTAGTTGTGGCTCGTGGGCTCTAGAGCGCAGGCTCAGTAGTTGCGGTGCGTGGGCTTAGCTGCTCCGTGGCATGTGGGATCTTCCCGGACCAGGGCTCGAACCCGTGTCCCCTGCATTGGCAGGCGGATTCTTAACCACTGCGCCACCAGGGAAGTCCCTCATTTTCATTTTTTATGACAGTTTATCACTCTATGTGTTTGTGTGTGTATATGTATGAATACACACACACACACACTGTGTATTTGTTATATATGTAATTAAACTCTAAAATCTATTTGTTTATTGTCTGTATCTCTTTTATATATCTCTGCATCAGTATGACTCAACATACTAAGCTCCAAGAAGGCAGAGACAAATCTGCCTGGCTTTGAACAAGGTCTAAAAAAGCCCCTGATCTCTAAGGGTCTGATGATGCCATTGATAACATCAATATAGACTATTTAAGCTGTTGATGGGTTCATGCAAATAAAACCCCTTGTTTCACAGAGGAGTAACTGAAGTCTAGAATGGTTAAGTGATTTCTGCAAAGTCATGTAAACAATTAGTGGCAGAGCCAGAGCCAGAACCTAGTTTACAGGTTTCTGGCCCCATGTTCACTACACCATACCGCTTCCAGAGAAATCAGCTCAACTTAACAACTTTCACCACAAGTAGAAAGGTCAGAAATATAAACGTGTTATGACCCCTGCCTTCAAGAAGCTTGGAGACTTTCTGGAAAAACAAAATTCACACAAAAACTTAAGAGAACAATACAAGACAACATTATTAAAGGAAATAAGATCAAGGGCCAAAATTTACAATACAGACTTTAAGGGCTATGGAAGAGGAGGAGAAGGATTTGTGATGAGCCTTAAAAAGGCTGGCAAGATTTAGACAGGAAATAAGGAATAAAGAGAGAGATGGTGAGAGAAGAGGTAATAGCATCAGCCTAGGCAAGAGTGAATAAAATAAATATGGGGAAACAACATGGAAATCAGTCTGAGTAGGGGAAGAACACTATACTTCACTTTAACAGACACAATTCTTGCCCCAAGCCATCTAAAAGGGAATTGGAGGGAAATCTGGAGGATTTAAGTATTCATAATGAAAATCTCACTTAGCAGGAAGCCTAGACTTTAAATTACAAGATTAAATACATGAATTTTCCCGAGCCCTGAAAAATTAGCAGCGGAGAGTAGACAAACTTCTGAATCCAAAGATTTAGAATCACACAGTGCCTGCAAAAGTAGTAACAATCTGGGCTTCCCTGGTGGCGCAGTGGTCGAGAGTCTGCCTGCCGATGCAGGGGACACGGGTTCGTGCCCCGGTCCGGGAGGATCCCACATGCCGCGGAGCGGCTGGGCCTGTGGGCCATGGCCGCTGAGCCTGCGTGTCCGGAGCCTGTGCTCCGCGATGGGAGAGGCCACAACAGTGAGAGGCCCACGTACCACAAAAAAAAAAAAAAAAGTAGTAACAATCTAATCCTGTTTTGTCATGTTGTTACCTCAAAAGATATTTACTAAGTGTCTGTTCTCAAGAACCAGCCGCTTATTTAAGTTATTCTGGGATGCTGTCAAAATAGAACACTCACTAATGTTCCACATATAATTATGCTTAATGTTCCAGGCAAAAATGTGAAGCAGAGAAGCTGTGTATAAAAATTCAGATCCTCCATGTTAACAGTAGCCCAGGAGCTTGCCTCTATGGAAACCAAACACCATTCTAAACCAAGTTATCACTGGTTTATATCTCTAGTTGTGTTTCAAAGTCCTGCTTTTATTTTGACAGCAGCAACACAAAACCTGCTGCATACCACTATATAGATGGGAGAAGTGAGTCCTTCCAAGCCGCCTAGCTCATACTTCTAATATACCTCAAGAGAGTGACGTGGTTCAAAACCATAACTTATGCTGTGACAACTGTACTCTGAACTTTTAACTCCTACAATTAAGTAAATACTACCATTAGCTTAAGAAATGAGGAATTCTATCTCCACCCATGAATGTGGTCACTGTTCCGCTCACACCTGTCTATCCAGTGTGGGGGCTTCCCTAGGAATCACTCACCTGCACAGATCTGAACGTAGTAATGAAAGGCAACATGATATGATAGCCTGGTCCACTGGGGCTAGTTAGTAAAGCTCCTCCCCTGCAAAAAGATGTTTCAATTTGACAAGATTATAAAAAGAGAAATTCTCTTTCCAAATCTAAAATTCTATAATAAATATTCACTCTTACTCATGCTATATTGATCTACTAAAGCCTCACTAATATGAGTTACTAATGATGAACAACTGCTGGTCCCTAAAATATCTGCCACACCTACAAAAGTGAAAAGATCAAATTAAACTGCCCATGTTACACCTTGTTTCACAAGTTCTACCAACCGTACCTCTGGGTCTCCAGTACCACTCTCAGGTATAAAGATTCTCTTTGGTCTTTAACCTTTTGAGAACTACTTGTGAAAAAAATTCGAATGGCTCTCAGTTGATGTACTTTAATTGTACATAGCGTGAGCCAGATCAAAACACAATACATTTAATCACCAGGCTGAATAAAAAATAGATAACACAAACTTTCAAGGAAGGAGAAAATTTCTGATGCTCAAGATTCTTTTAATCTACCTACAAAGCAATTAAAATGCTGGGGGCGATTAACATACACACTACTATATATAAAATAGGTAAACAACAAGGACCTTCTGTATAGCACAGAAAACTATACTCAATATTTTGTAATAACCTATAATAGAAAATCTGAAAAATAATATATATAAATGTATATGTATAACTGAATCACTTTGCTATACACTTGAAACACAACATTGTAAATTAACAATGTAAACAATTTTTTTTAATCAAAAAAGAAACTTATTTGGAACAAAGAAAAAAATACTGGGGGCATAAAGCCTCTATAAAATCAACAACAACAACAAATTAGCACGGAAAGATGAAGGGTGAGGGGATAAGACTACAAATAGATATAAGTGTGGACTTGTTCACCAAATTCCGGAATGTGAGAAACATGAAGGCACATCTTGCAAGTTATAAAAAGGAGGTAATTTGGAGGCAAATATAAAAAAGAAGTCCTATTTTACATAACGAATAGTAAATTAATATAACTTACCTTCCTATCTTGAAAATATAAATAGGTTTGCAAAGAATTCATAACAAATAGCTAATAGAAGATGAACTGTTTGAGGTCCAGCCCTAATTTTTTGAGAGCCATACCTTGAAATGTTCTTGGATTTACTATCAGGAAGACAATGCTGAACTAGATGGAAATACAGACTAATTTGCCATTTTTTAAATGCCAGACCCACCACCTGCTAAGATATATCACTAAAATTGTATTTGAAATTAGTGCTTCACAGGGAAGACTGTTTCTAAGACTCAGGATGGATCTAAAAGTAGAAATATTGGTTTTATGGGATGACAGAAGCCGGCAAAAAGTTGAAGCTCTTTCAAATACATCGTTATCGCAATTTCTGCAAACTGTCCTCTGTCTATATCAAAAGAACAGGTGGTAACTACGTTGAAGGAAAAGCTATTCATCTCAGCTAGAGATCAACACATTCCACACCACTGCTTTCCACAACTTGAAAAGACAGGGAAAGGTGGGAGGAGGATGTATCTGTCACAATCCTGTGTTTGTCTCCCAAAGTCCAGGAATTTAACAACTGTCATGGTCTTAATGGCCTTACAAGCCCAAACCAGACACCAGAACTTTTTAAAGGAAAAAAAAAAAAATCTAAGAAACCACCACAAACAGGACCAGAGTTTCTAAATAGCACCTACAGCTGCAACTAATGGCCAGTACAGCTGTATGGAATTTAACAATGATTTATCCATTTCTTCAGCCACAGGTGGAGTCACCACTGCCTTCCACCCTTCATTTTTTTCTGCAAATGACTGAATTTACTGACTACTAGGAAAAACTGCAGGGAGTCTTAACCTCTGCACACAATGTACATAGCACTGAAACTGTCCAACACCTGGAGGATGCTCTGCAAAAGCCTGCCACAGCTCCCATACTCTCCCTAGAGCTGCGACGAAAGTCACTTCCTAGGACTGGAAAGAGCTCCCTGACACCGCAGAGGGAACAACTTCCTAGACTCTAATGGAAGTCTCCCTTCTACCTGCTCTAGAACCTGAGCTGACTGCACGTGCCGCTCACCTGTAGTACACGGCCAGGTGTCCTTCCTCGATCTTGTGGATGGAGGCGTAGAGGAGGACAACCACCAGACCCACCACTCCAGCCACCAGAACGCGTGCTTGAGTCATATTCATCCTAGTTCCTCCTGGATGAGGAAGGAACGGGGCCCCAGCCCCGTGAGTGACAGGCCCACCTTCCGTTTTCCACCTCGCCCTCCCGCGACCTGGCGCCCTCCCGCGACCCGGCCCCCTCCCGCAGGCCGAGCTGAGGAGTCCTGTGCCTCTTTTCCCTCCTCGCAGAGCCCGCTTCCCCGTCGCCAACCCCTCCGCGCGAGCCGGCCCGTGGGTCGCCCCTGCTCGGTGAGCGTCTTGACACCCCCCTCCCCCCCGCTCCCAACAGCCGCTCCTCCCTGCCCAGGGGAAAGCATTAACTGAGAAGGGGGCCAGCCGCAGACTCCGGACGGACGCCGACCCCTCGGCCGCGCCCCACCGATCAGTGACGCACCGCCCCCCCGCGTGCACGTGAAGTCTCCACCCGGGCCCCACCAACCGCGGCCAAGAGCCGGCCCCGCCCACCCGCGGGGCACTGCGGCTGCGCGGACACGCACACCGACGCTGCGCTCGCCCCGCGACTAGAGACGGGGAGCGGATGGGACAAAATTCTTGCCGCCGCCCGCCGAGCTATCTCGCGCGAAGGTACGTGGGCTCTCTACTGTGTACTGCTGGTTTCCTGCTCCGGAAGAGACGGGAAATCGGCAATGTGGAGTAAGGAAGGAGGCAGAGGAACGGAGAGGGCCTCTGAGACAAGGGATTGGTCAGCGTGTTCTTGTGCAGTCACCTATTAACGTGCCAGAATGCTGATCCAGTGAGGGCTTTATGAAAGCCATCCAAGCAATAAGAACAGAATAAACTAATAAGCAGTAAACGTGAGTGTGTGTTGGAGGGTCCTCCGGGAAGATTGAAGACAATGAGCATTTGAGCTTCCTTGAAGCCTGTGTGATGGAAAGGAGTGGGATGCTAGGCTAGGCCCAGATTTTGAAAGGCTCGAATGCACTTTTCCTGCAGGGAGGGAAAACTGGATGGCTAGAGAATAGAGACAGACTTTCTTTTCACTACATATTTTTCTGTTCTTTTAAATTATGCATTATCTGCATGTATTACCGGAAACAGAAAGGACAAAGTGAAAGAGTAGATGGGAGTAAGAAAGATGGATACAAAGGAAATAAGGGCAGCATGTTAGAAGAGGTTGGGCAGTAATGGTGTAAGCCTTGAAAGGCTAGCAGTGGCACCACAACTGGACAAGGTAGAATAAGGATGGAGAGCTCTGTAACCTCTTGGGCAGGGAAGTATGGGAAAGCAGTACCTTAGGGCCAGTGAGTCTACAAAATGGCTTAGAGTGGAGACAGGAGACAGGGAAGCCAAGTTGTTAGGAAACTGCAGGCCCAAGGTTACAATGGTAGTAACAGTGGAAATGGGAAGAGGTAAATAGAATCAATTAAAATCTTCTTTAAAGGAAGCCCTCCCAGACCACTGTACCTTCTCCCTTCAATAAATGCACTTACCCGTATCATTCATTTGACTTCTACTACCTAGGAATGTATGGGACCGTGTCTGTACCAGATAAATGTTATTTGCAGAGCGTAGCTATTTTAACTGATAAAAAGCAAAGAGAATAAAAAATAACTTGTCCAGCCTTTGTTTTCTGGATGGATTCTCTTAGTTTTTCATAATATTGCTTGAATTAGGGAATGAAATGGATATAATGCACAACTGACACTTAACTCTGAAAAGTTGTCAGCCAATAAATAGTGTTCAACTCATGTATCATAAGCAAATTTGAGGTGCTCGTACTATAAAAGACTGTTCTGACTCACACCACTTGCCCTTACGTATCACACAGATCAGGCTAGCCTGAGATCATATCAGCCACAAACCATAAAAATGGTCCCACCCTCTACCAGATCTTTTATCAGTTATTACAGTGATATTTAGAAAAACACATGATCATTTAAAAAATCCTTTAACAATAATTTCATGCCACATAAACATTCTTATTGTACTGCCTGTGTTAACTTTTCTGATCTTCCCATTTTGCTCAATATCTTCCAAGCAATAGGTACCCAATAAATGTTTATTGATTAAAACCTTCTAGAACTGGAGAAGCAAGAGAGAGACTGCCTATTTTAACAGCTGGTAGTCAGAATGTCCATATTCAGAGAAACAGTAGTACCAGATGACTAGAGTTAGGAGAAGACAACCCCAAGGTCTCAAACTTAGATGACTGGGAAAATGACACTACTAGCAAAAATGGGGATGGTGTAACTAAGACAGCAGTTTATAGGGCAAGGTATGAGCACAGTTTTTAGACATGGATAGTGTTGATAGGACATCTCAGGAGAAAAGAGTATATTAAAGAAGCTACCCAATACTGTCTTTACCATAAGTCCTGTTTCATTCCTAAGGAAAGTACATTATGAGAGCCCATTATGTTATTCTGTGCTCCAACTCTGCTTCACAGAATCTTCACATTTTCCCAAAGCATATTCAATTATTATAATCTGATTTTAGTGAACAGAGGTTCAAAAAGTAATTTAAAAATTATTTAATACACAAAGTGAAAAACTGTCTAGAATACAAAAGAATTTCACATTTTTCTTTAAACAAGTAACACCTTCTAAATTATTTAACAGATGATAGATCCACAATCCTTTATCTGAAACCCTTGGGGCCAGGTGTTTCAGAATTATGAAATTTTCAGATTTTTAGAAAGGTAATTCAGTGCATATACCATACTACATAAACCCCAGGCAGGGTCTGTGGCAGCACCCTACCCCCAAACAAGCAAACACGTTAATATTTCTACAGCAAAAAAAGAATATTCACACTAAATGGGATAGATTCAATGTCAGTTCACGATGGATGTGCAAGCAGGTGAATTCTGTCACCAAACTTATGAAAAACCTTGTTATCAGACCTTTTTGGATTTTGGAATTACAGATCAGGAGTATAGACCTTTATAAATTTATATGACAAGACATGAAAGAGTCCTTAAACAAAAGACCCATTTATACAAATTAAAACATAGATAAGCTTTCAAATACATTATAAATTAACAGGCATCTTTTCTTTGATATTATTAAATGTACATCTTAAATACATATACACATAGCACACTTAACAAGATTTGAAAGAATCAACTGGTATTAAAGGCACAGATGCACAATCCCTTCTGTAGGAAAGGGATACAGTCAAATGTGCATTTGGGATTGAAATTGAAAATGGGATTAAACTAACTCCTTATGATGCCGGGAAAAGCACTGTTGAGTGCAACACAAGGAGGTAGGGTTTATTCTTCAAGAAGTACAATTCTACTTGCAAACAGTCTCTTCCACAGAAACACAGGCAAACAATTTTTACTTAGAATACATGTTAGTTGAGATTTTCTTCTCTGTATACATTACTTTGGCCTTATGCCCAAAAGTTAAATGTTGAAAGATAGTCGAGTTAAATAAGTAATGTTTTATCAAGTTTGAAGACAAATGGATTCCAACGATGCTCCTAAGTAGCTGTAGTATTTAAACAAGTCCACTGAGTCATTAAATTCTATCTGTTCAGAGGTTAAAATTACCCAGTCAAAATATTGCACTGTGAAATCATGTGTAGTTTCTGATCATAGTCATTTCTTCCACTGATGGGTGTCTGAAGAATGGTTTCATAAGAGAAAAACGAACTTCCAACATTTGCAGCAACAACTTCATACGTTTGGGTCAGTAAGTGGCAAGTCATTCTGTTAACCAACTCCAATCAAGATTCTAAAACCAGGCATGAAAAAGATATAATTAGATATTGACTAAAAGTGGTAGGTATATGGGTGTTCATTTCTGCAAGTTTTCTGTATATTTGGACATTTTATAATCAAAAGTTGAAAAACCAAAAGTACAAATAAGTTGCAATTAAAGAGTTTAGTTTACCTTTTCTGCTAACTAAAAAAAATATTTCAGAGTTTTTATAAATATTTGAAGCAAATAATTAAAGAGGAAATAACAAAGAATTAACATCAAGACTAAATGTAGTGAAAGTTAATCCAGTAAACATTTTATTGTAGTTTCTCCAAGTTTTAACAAATCAATAATTCACAGTAACCAAATCTTCATATAAACACTTCTATAAATTATAACCATATTAACATTATTCATTTTGCATACAGCAGTTACTATATTTGAATTACAGTACAAATCATGTCCAATCTTATTGGAGAAAATTGATTGCTGAAGCAAAAAGTACAAACCATTCGATTTCAGTGGTCACACTGCAAAGAAAGCTCACTACTCATTTAACTTGACCAAAAATGCTATTGTTGAAGATAACTGATGACATAATCCTAGTATATCCATGAATAAGAGAAGATGGGGAGTTGAGGTCAAGCATTCCTCAAATGCTCTTTCCTCTGACTTCTATTCCCCATCTGCATCCCAAATGCCAGATAAATCTAGCATGGAAAGTTAAATCCTTTGCGCTCAACATACCTAAAACAGACATCCGTATCCATATAAAACTTACCATCATACTGTTGCCCTGTTTCTCATTTGCTTCATGCATAATAGTGCTTAAATGGCCAAGACAGTTCAAATTTTCTTCTATTATTTGTGCTAAAGTCTCCCTGTGGAATGAAAGCAAAGAGGCATACCAATTTCCTCTATTTTCTGGTCTTCAGGGTCAGGATGATTCTGCCCTTCTGACAACACTGCAACCCTGCAACCCAATGCAGCTGATTCCTGTAGTCTTCAGTTTCCTCATCCCTCCCACCCAGAGGCAAGAGTCCTGTTACTCCAAGCTGCTGCCTCTGCCCAGCTCTAATAATAATGAGTCCACTATAACTGCAATCTGATTTTCCTCTGAAATATAAGTGGCACTTATATACAACTTTTTCCCCCTGAAAATGCTCACTGGGGGGAAAAAAAAAAAGAGATCCTGTGGCACAGCTAGATGAAAGATCTCTGTTTCTGAAACATTTCCCTTTCCTTATAAGTAGTAAAAACATCAGCATGCTTACTTCAGAGATACACATGTAGGGGAGGAGATACAAAAGTACAATCTTTTCTGCAAATATCAGGGAAGGTGAAAAAAACTGTTTGGAAAATACAGATGACAGCAATGAGAAAGCAAACAAGCAAGCTGATTCCTGAGGACAGCAGAAGAAACCTGTGACGGGGAGCTGCCCAGAACCAAGAATTATCCCTGAAGTTTGTATTTGAAGGAAATCCTGAATTTGGTTTCCACCTTCTACACTTCCCTCTTCCATATGGCCTCCATCCTTACCTTTTACTAACCCTCAGTCCCTACCCGACTAGAATCAGTTCTAAGCCATGGAAGATAGTCATTATTAGCTTAGAACTAAATTCTCATTCAGCTTATTCAACAGATAGAAAAACTGAGGCCAACAGTTCCCAATCCTTGGTGGTTAAGTACCGCAGGTACATTTGAAGTTTTCCTTTATAACGTATTCCTACTGGAAAATGTATTTTAAAATTCCTGTTGAATATACTTTTGCAAACAACCACAA